CTCTCCCTTTCTTTGTTACACTGGGAATAAAGTAGACAGATCAACTTTTGACGCATTCTACTTGGGTAGTGAGCAACAACAGTGGAAAAATTATTATTTGCATTTAGTTTGGTGACAAAAATTAACAGTTGAGCATTTTGGCAGTCTGAAAATGTCTTTCAAATCAGTGAATAAAATCTTGGTTCTATGAATATCCACAGAATAACTTCTGCAAATGATGCAGGGAAGGATCTTACCAAGAGCTTTTGGAGTCCCTGTTTAAGTCAGAGCACCTCAGCACTTCGTTAAAGCAGTCCCTCAGTTTGAGTTTTTTAATATATTCTTATTTAAGGCAAGCAGCTTGAAATTTGTTTGTGCTTCTGAGTCATCATTAGCAGCAACTTCTTAAGCACAGGAGTGAGTATTTTCTAAGTATACTTTCAGGCTTTAGCTGTTGTACAGTGGGTGCCCAACAGGTTCCCTTTTAGAGGCCCCATGTTTTTATTCACTCTAACACATTTTTTTTTCTCCTACAATAGGTGTTTGCATTTGAAAAGCATTAATTCAACACAGAAGACCAGCATACATAAGTGACTTGAAAGCTTTTATGCACAGAACACTTTCAAAGTGACCACAATTTTTATTTTTGCTTCACTGTTCATTTATATGAATTAGAAGGCACACCCTGCCTGTCACCTGGTCTTCTGACAATTCAAATAGGAAAGAAATAGGAAAACTGAAAAGCAAAGTTCAGCCACTGTCCTAGAATACAATTGTCCAGTTTTAGAAGATAAATTTTTTCCACTGAGTCAAGTGTTAGATAATCTCAGCTTTTCACATCTATTTTTGGTTTGAGGAAACTCTGGGATATTTCTGCCTCTAGGGAAAGGTATTTGTATGTCAAACTGTAAATTCTTGGAAAACCCTTGTGAGTGCTGGTACACATGTACCACTGGCCCCTCTGGGAGCTCTAGTCAATTCAGTGACCTGTGCATCTATGAGCTCCATTTCTTACAGCTTTTCTCGGGGCATATTTGAATACACTGAGACACGGGGCATGGAGATAAAGTCAGGGATTTCTATCGGGAGCTCCAATCCTGTAGTGTGGGGCTTCTCCATCATGTTTTTGCTGAAGACAACTAATGTCTAATGTGAGATCCTGAAATTATCTTTCCTGTTCTTGCTGAAGTACTGCACATACTACCAGTAGTATACATTTTAAGGAAACAAACTATCAACAGAGATCTCGATTTCCTTCTGGAGCAAGCAGTTCATACACAGCTGAGCTGTCATAAAAAAAAAATCAGTACAGCATTTGACCCACAGCCTTACTTCACAGAACCGAATAAAGACGAATTTTACTGAGCAGAACTAGTTACATAACATCATCATTAAGCTTTCATATTTCATAATATGCGAAATGTCAGATTTGTGGGTTTTGTAGGGAAACAAATAACCCAGGTGTGAAAATACTACAGTTCTTGCAGATTACTGCTTGTCGGAGTGCTCCCAATTGTACCAGTTGCCACAAACAGAAGGCTCACACAATGCTTTGACTTTTATGACTACAGGTTTGCAGGATAAAACTGTCAGCTGCTAAGGAAGGATTCCAAGGACATTACCCACACAGAGACTTAGAGCTTGTCTACATAATTCCAAATAAATGTTGCAGCATAGCAACTATTATTTATACCACTAAAACTTGGTAATACAGTTGACTCTAAGAGACTTGAAAAACCCAGTCCTATGCAAAATAACACTTGGGAAAAAAGAATGAGATCGGGAACAAGGTCTATTTATTTTTTCATATAAATCAGGAGGTCTCTGAAACTCACAGGCACTGAAGAAATGGCTTGTTTGAGAAAACTGAAACATGTCTCCTCAGTAAACTCCCACTCCATAGGAAAGCTTCCTGCTCTCTGAAGGGGCTAGAACTTCTTGCCAAGAAGATATTTGGACATTAATTTTTTAAATTAATGCTCCAGGATATTCACATAAAGACACAGATATTGACTACTGTGCAGAATATATTTTTAATTGGAAGAGGCCATGCCAGCTGAGCTATAAAACAAGTACAAGCTGTTAGATATAATAATAGAGAAAAAAGACTAGGGGAAAAAAGTCATGAAAAAAAAAAAGAGAAAAAACTATTTAGTTAAAAGAGACTTCCCAGGACTCCTAAGCTAACGTAATGATAGAAAAACATTAAACTTATCATGACCATCACGAATGCTGTTCAGGGATGCAGGGATCTTGATACCATGGAAATGGCACTTGTATTCAGGATTATCTTACATGATTCACATATAAATGAAGATGGTTCAGATTTTGAAGCAGTAACAACACACATCAAAATCTGCAAGTGTTGTTAACAATGCATGTATATGCACCGTATAGGGCATTGTGGTATAAAGATGCAAGAAATTTAAAAGGAATTTCATTTTCCTCCTTCAATCAGAAATGAGTGATATAAACTGTAGCACCTGATACATAGATAGATGCCACTGACTTCAGGATCAACCAGATGTCACTGCTCTGATGCTGATTTGAGGCAAGTATAGCAAATAGATTTTCCATAAAATTAAATCCCTTTATTTGTTTCTGTAAATAATTTTCTGTAAAATAAATGTCAGGGGTACTAATTTTGCTATTTGCTTTTTCATTTTATTCCTTTTGCCTCAGAGAAACATGACTGCAGGTTTTAACTGGAAGCATAGTCCTTACAAGGCTGTTGAGAAGCCAAAATGATGCATTTTGTCAGTGCAGACATGTAAGAGCTTACGGATGTCAGCAACACTGACAGCACAAAACTGAGGGGACCCACTGGGTACTTTTCTGTTTCTGGAATGCAGAGCTCTAGTTTAGGCATCCTCTACCTCATGTGAGATAGTTTCTATATACAATAGGTAGGTGCCAGGAAGATGATATTAAGAATACCAAATACATAGTCTGTTAAGCCTCTTCCTCAAAGTTCTTTTTAGACATCCTCTAAGACGAGGGATGGGTTTAAGGCAGAGAAGTTAAGCAGTGAGGCCCATTGGCATTCACAGCTGGTGCCAAGTTTGCTTCTCACAAAGATGGAAGAGCAGTTGCTGCTTTGCTCATCATCTTTGCTTAACACCTGATGCCTCTTGTGGAAGACATTTCCCTGGAGTTATTACTCAGTGGTCAGGAATGAGATACTGTCTCTTCAGCACACTTTTTGGCCAGAGCACTTCTCTAAGTGGAAGATTATAAGGATTTGAATCCTTCAGGGCAGGACTCCACTTCCCCACTGACTCCTCAAAATAGAGGTAGGAACTATCATTTTAAAAGAGCACTTATGATCCCTGCTCATTTTTTCGAAACAGTAGTTGTGTGCACCTGCCCTCAGGAGAAGATTCAGCTTCCAAACAGGAGCCCCAGCGGGTGGCAGGGGTTCAGCAGCATCCCCTTCCCACTGCAGGTTATCAAGGTCGATGTGAAATGAAACCCTTGCCTTTGGTGACAGGCACATTAACTGCAGGAATGCTTTTCTGCCTTTTCACATAGGGGCATGCTGCTAGTCATGGCACATCAGAAGCTGTAAGCTCCCAGGAACTGCAGCCTGCGATGCCCTTTAGATACTGAGGCCAAGACAAGAGAAAAACCTTGGGTTTCTTTTATCTCCACTTTCCAGACAGTGTCCGAGTGTCTCTGTATTCCTGGTGATTGTCCTGTACTGTCTGACACAACCAGCACTAAAAATCTAAGTATTGCAGCACCTAGCTGGTGGGTGCCCAGACTCTTTACCGGACCTTTCTCTAAATACCAAGATGTTCCACAGTGGTCATATCTAAACCAGCAAATGAAACGCTGGATAGAGAGAAATTTTATATGCCAGATGAGACAGGGTTGTGATAATGTAATTTTCAGATGTAAGTGCATCTAAGCCTTTCAGAGGGGTTAGCCCGAACTGCTTTTAGCACTGAAGTCAGGGAGAGTATTCAGCACTTCTATCAAAGCCCAAACACTGTGAGACTTGCGCAGTCAGACCTAAAATAAGTCAGGTAATACATTTTTTTCTCAGACAACACTGCAAAACTGGTAGAGAAAATGCCAAATTTTAACAATGACCTTTTAGGACTATTTTCTGCTTTCAATGTTAAACACATCCATTTTGTCTTTGCATTTATAGGCCTCCTTTTCTTCTCATATATTTGAGCTCCAGATAATTATTCTAATTTAAAACATGTAAAAGCCAACAAATGCAGCAGAAGTATTTTCTCTTTTGAAAACCATGGATAATTATCTCCCGTATCCATTACTTAGATGCCTCATGACACATTTTTATTTTGCTACTCTGATATTTTTCTCTTCTTGCCAATGCAAATCTCACATATTGATTGAATTCTATAGTATGTTACCTGAATACATAACATTAACCATAAAAAGCACTATTGTATTGCATTAGTTTGAGGTGGGGCAGGCCGGGGCGGGGGGAGGGGAGGAGTGGAACAAAAACAAACACCCAGGAAGATACTTTCTCCATTACATACTAAGGCTGGAATGCTTTAATAGAAGACAGACAAACAAGAATTTTTGCTAAATATTCTCCTCTGCAGGTAATAGGTCCCCACTTCATTATAAAGCTTGTGAAATATTATTTAGAAAACTATGGAAAAAATCATTAAAAATTAGATCACCATGCAGGAACTTACTCATTTAAAGAAATAGTTAAAATTCAGCCAGAAGACTGGGTATCAAAGGAAAAGATTAAAAAGAAAAATTATAAAATGTCAATAGTGTCTCCTTTCTAAACATACAGCCACCTCAATTTACAAAAGCACATACATCAGAAAAAATGAAGGAGAGGCTCATAGGTGATCTGTGATCCTACAGGTCAAATATCACTTAAAAATTACACATTATCAATTCAATATCTCTCAAAATCAAGGTATACTGCTGTACAGACTATATACTGACTATATGCTACTTATTAGTAGAGAAACTTTCAAACCAATTAATTTAAACATTGTTTCCTGGGCTTCTCTTTCCCTCACCTCTTTATAAGACTTGTGTTGTCCTTATGGCACGACTTCAGCACAGGCCTTCCTAAACTCACTAATGAATGAAGATATCCATCCAAATAGTTCCTGAGAGTCTAGGTCTTGTGGCTCCCCAAATTTTACCTGTAAATTTGAAAGAGAAAAATATTTAACATTAGTACATTCAAGTAAACTAAACCATGTTGAGGAACTTAATTAAATTTAAAATGCGAGAGAAAAGTTAAATACCTTTGTTGTTATTATTATTATTAATAATCATCATCGTCATTATAAAACTTAGAGCTGGCTAAAATCTCCAGCAAGCTGAGATCCAAAACATCCCAAGTAAAAGTGGCCCTGGGAGCTGTCACTGAATTACCTCGGTAACCTGGGTTTCTGTATAACCCAGTCTCTGGCTGGACTATAGATCTCCAGCTGAAGAGGAGAAAAATCAGTAAATCATGAAGATTCCCGACTCTACACTTTGTTAGATGAACTCATTCATAAAAGAAAATGCGTACATTAGGGAAATGGTATAAAACCCACAGTGGGCATGGTAGCAGCAAAGGTTTCATTTTCTGTCATTTTGCTTTGCAAACAAGCAAAAATATTCATAGGGAAGCAGACATTTTGGGGAGAAAAAGCAATTTATCAAAGAGCCACCTTTCCACATTCTCTTCTTTCCTTTACCTGAAAAAGGTGAACAGATGGAAAGTTTTTGAAAAAGACATGAACAATATTTACATTGTGTCTGCTCTGCTATAAAACAAGAGGTGAAAGGCAGTCATACTACAAAGTTCAGTACTAGGAGAGTGATTCCTGCATTAACTAAAATCACTTCCACATACATTCTCCAGTTCTAGGATAAGAAAGGATTTTTCATACTAAATCTGTTGCTAAAGTTTAATTCAAGAGGTTTGTCATAATTTTCAAAGATTCCCACTTAATAGGATCAGTGAGTTAAAGAACATAGCTCTGCCTGCAACGGCTTTCTAATAGAGCAGAACAAATCTAGAGAACATGCTCCAAAGGCTTCATCAGAAAGTTTTAAAAGGCATCTTGTGTTGCTACAAATTCTAATCTTGGCTGTAATTAAGAACTACTCCGTAATTGGGGGATACAGATCTCCCAACACTGAGCCGCAATGAAGTTGTATTTCATTATTTCAGACTGCAACAGAAATACATGGAAAGGTTTGGACAGGTATCTGTCATTATCTAAACATGTTCAGCTGGACATCATCTAACACATTCTTAGGAGCAAACCCTCCACCTGGCAATCAGAAACACAGTGGAAAAAAAAAAAAAAAACACATATAATCCAGTCACAAAAACTTTAACGTTAACCAGTGACACCTGATTAATAGTTTTGCCTGTTGTGTTCCTAATTGCACCTCCTGGGTGCTCCAAGCCCTTGATCTTTGGCATGCCTCTCCACTCACCCATGGTGTACCATCAGTTAAACCATAATGAGAGAGACATTTCCTGGAGCTAATGACCATCTGTGGGAAGTTGATAGCCCACAGCTATACTACAGGCAGTTATCCCCAATTTATTGTGCATTCCATAGAAGTGTCACATGACAAGGTCATTATTGATTTTATAAGCAGAATATAAAATCATAAAGGTAGGCCTGTGGATTTTTGTTTTATCTGCAACATGATTTCCATGGCTACCTACAACACATTCCCAGATTAGATATCCCCCCAGGTAAACTGGACTATTCCTTCCTAGTACTGTTGAGATGATAGCTTGGTCTTTGATCACCCATCCTATTTTATATTTGCTTTACATTTTTGCTGCTTTATAAATATGCAAAAAGATCTGCCTAGCAATAACATTATTCAGAAGAAAAAAAAAAATCCATTCTAAGAGAGAGAAATATATCAAATGCCTAACTTTAGAGAATAACAGGGAAGGGAGGGCAAAAAGCAGCTGGGTGAAAAACTTAAGGAAACTTCCAGCTACATGGAAAATGAAATCCGCTTCTGATGCAAATAAGAGTCTCAGATGAGAGCTTCCAATACAAGAAAGGAAAGCAGAGAGGCTCATACATGTATCTATAGCACAGCATCATATGTGTAATGCCTCCTGGCTGCATGTACACAGCTGGAGAGAAACAACATCCGTGCAGGAGGAGTATGACCGAGTGTGCACATGCAAGAGGGCACATCCAGCACTCCCTGGGTATGACACAGCTCTGCAGGCAGGACAGGCCACATGACACTAACTCTTTCAGAAGATGGCTTTTAGATAAAATGGGTCAAATTCTTCCATATCCCATGAAAGAAGTGTCCCCCCAAAGGTTCTACAGCACAAATCTCACCACTTTTACTGAATATTTTTCAACCATTTCCACTCATGTTACTCAGTTGTTAATCCTCCCATTTCCACTATTTTTTCTGCCCTTTTTTTTTTCTTGCTATATCTCACTCCTTCAACCTTTTTTGAAGGCTTGGGACAGAGTTCTTTGTCTATGTGCTACATCCAAATTTGGCTTGCTAGCCTACACTAAGGCATTTTTCCCATTTGTGGAAGGCTGCAAGAGAACACAAAGAAACCTTTGCACATTGTTACAATATTACTTTTAGTAAAACATTACTAATTAAATTTCCTTGGTCAAACATCTCGCTAATCTTCAATGTCTGTTCAAACAGGTCCCCAAAGGTCTTCCTGGCTGCATCTTCTGCGTAGCTTTTGCCTGCCATAAAACATCTCTACTCTAATCCCTCCCCTCATTAAAAAGGGGAGAAAACAAGGAAAAAATGAAAAAAAACACAAACAACCAACCAAACACCACAACCCAACACCACCAGACAAAGCCATGTCCTAATCCCAGGACCAGGAAGTTATTCCAGTTTCAGAGATTAGCACTGCATTTTGGAAAATCTGTCCTTTTCCTTATAACCTCCTAGTGTGACTATTCTGCCAGAGAATACCATATCAGAGACCTCCTGAATTTCTATCACACTCCAAGAACATTGTACTAAATGAGGAATCTACACGCTACGTTGTTAAAAATTGCAGCGTGGAATTTGTATCATTCCTTCTTGTGTGACCCTCTGACCCAAAAAACATTTTCTGGCATATTGGACTGGAATGAGTTGGTTCTGTTCAGAAGGAAAAAATGATTGAGAAAATTAGGTGCTTCTCTGGTGCAAGTGTGGATGAAAATAATAGGACCAAACAGACAGTTTCTTTATCAGAAATCTTCTGCCTGTGGAGCTTCTTTTCTGCTCTGCTCATTTTTAGATCTGTGCTACTACTAACATCTCTATCTCAGCCTCCCTCTCACTCGAATAACAGAAGCTAAATCAATGCCCTGGACTATAAACTTGTCACTAGAAAAAACCCTCAGCCCAAGTAACAGAAGATTTGCAGCTGCCTATCAGCCAAAGACATAATTGCTGGTAGGAGCCAGGAAAAATGAAGTTTTCCATAACAGGTTCTCTGTAACATATTGAAAACACTCAACAGTTAAACTCACTGAATTTATAAAGTTGCTGAACGTCTCCTTTCCTTTTTGATATCTGGGCCACAAGCCTTCTAAAAACTGGGCTGTAAGACCTCAAGAATAAAAACCAGATTTTCATTCATAACATTCCACCACTGTTAGATATGATTTTCTATTTTTTTTTTTTTTCCAGTTTCCTTGAACAGTATAACTATAAAGCATCTGGAAGTATGAGAACTTCTTGCACTTCTTTCTCCTCTGCCTTTTTTAAAAGAAATACGGATTTATTTTCATTGCGTTTTAATAAGATATGTACCAGTATGTTGCTATAAAGCTTCTTCATTTCATCACATCTTTTTGACAGCTGGGATAGATCCCCTTCATATTTCTGAATTAAATCCTGTAATACAATAAAAATTCTTAATTTGGTATAACAGCATAATATTAAAGAAGGAATTAAATAGCAGTGAAAACAAGATAATTCAAGTCAAAATTTTCACATCACAAAAATTTCACATTTCACAAATGATAAGCATACATCAAGCACACACATTTCCTTGCAAATATTAAGACATCAAAGACAAAAAAAAAAGAAACAAAGTTAGAGATTTTTTTTACTGTATCATCCAATGACACTACCTAAATCTATTCAAATTGGTAGGAGTAGATAAGCATCATAAGGTCCTATTTTCCACCCATATTTGGGATAGACTAGCCTTTTTATCTGTGAAGCAAACACTCTCAGTTGCTAGTTCTTAGGGAAGCAGAAACAGGGTCTTAGAAACTTAACTTTTGAAATAAAATTTCTTAATCATGGTTCCTTTGTAACATATACATTTTCAACAATTTAATACGTATTGTAGAACACCACTGAGCTGTCCCAAGGGAGAGGGAAATATATGGATTGAACAAGTGCTGACACTACCCCACACAAAGATATCTGGGACAGCAGAGATAAATATGTCCACACTATAGAGTGAGAAACACCATCACTGGAAGTAGCCCTGTTCACAGCTAGAGCAACAGTGCTCTTGAGAGTTAATTAACTTCCCTGTACCTGAGCTACTAAGACCTGTGTTTGACTCTTCTGACTCCTGGCCAGAACTGGGCTCCCTACAGTCTACTCAGCTGCCTCTCCATTGTGTCCTCCAAACCATCTTGTTCTGCCACTACCATAGGCAGAATCATCTTATATCAACCTATACCCACAATTTAGGCATGCCCTTGGATGATGTTTCTTGTATGGTCTCTTCTCCCAAGTAAAAAGTGATAGGACAAGAGGAAACGGCCTTAAACTGTGCCAGGGGAGGTTTAGATTGGATATTAGGAAAAACTTCTTCCAAATTTCTCTAACAAAATTTTTCTAACAAAAAGGGTTCTTGAGCACTGGCAAAGGCTGCCCAGGGAAGTGTTTGAGTCACAGTCCCTCGAGGTATTTAAAAGACCTGTAGACGTGGCACTTAAGGACTTCGATTAGTGGTGAGATTGGCAGTGTTAGGTTAACAGTTGGACTCAGTGATCTTAAAGGTCTTTTCCAACCTAAATAATTCTATATGCTATTTTCCCTTCTGAAGGCAGAGGAAATTATTACAGATTCATATATGCTCTAAAATTGCTATCATTCCAAAGTGCTTATCGTAGGCATCCATGGGGCGACCTGTTCCTCATCCACTCCAGCCCCATAAAGCAAAAGCAGGAAATGCAGAAGTTCTGAAAAGCCTTTCCCATGCTTCAGCTTAGAGTATGAAACACTACCAGAGGGAAATAAAAGGCCACTTTCCATCAACTACTCCTGACTCCCTTGTCAGGGCAGGTGTCAGCACAAGCTAAGCAGATTACTCATCTTTTACCTCCAGCCCACAATAAGGTTGTGATAATGTTACCTTTAGTTCCTTGCAGAACTGTGACTCCTGGGGTGTTGCCTTGGTTGTCTTGGGTTTAATAAGCCGCCTGCACTGAATAACGTTTTCCAATTCTTTTTTTAAAACTAACAAAAGAGAAAGAAAATGAGAAATTTAACTGGCATGCAGTTGTGTCCAAAGGACTGTAAATGTCTAATTTAGGACACACAGAAAATTTAGAATATGGGTCTATAATACATTCATCTAGGAATATTAACTTCTTGTTTTGAAATAGAAATCCTGAAAGAGGCATGGTTCTTATAAAAAAAATAGTATGTGATCACATCACAGCAACTGCAGAATAATGAAGAGGTCGATAGTATGGTTATGCAGCAGCCATAAATCTGACCTTTCCTAGCTTTAAGCTTTGGGATTAACAATGAAAATAACATTCTTCAAACCTACATTTTTGTGTAGAAAGCTCAGGGTTCCTTTAAAGATAAAAGAACAAAAATTCTACTCTATGTAACAGTAAGAAATCTTGTCAGTTGGCACTAAGCGCTGTATCAGACTGCTACCGTGGGAGCTCTCACGGTGTGAAATGGGGGGAGAAGAGGATACAGCCTTGGCTCCAGGGGCTCAGTCCTGAACTGACCCAGGCTGCAGCTGAACATCTTCCTCCCCCTGTGCTCATGGAATACTTGCAGCAGATGAGCCCCAGGACGTGCCTTGGTGAGAAAAGCTGGTTCAGTGGCATTTGGTCCGTCTCTTTCCCTCTCTGCCCTGGTGAATGGGACTCAGAAGATAACAGTGACTGTGCTGGGCCCATCAGGAATCCATGGAAGGAAGAAGCCAGTCAATATCCTCCCATTCCCATGATTCACCTCCTTGACAACTCCCAACATTTTCTGGTACTGTGTCCATTGTACTACTTTACCCATGAGTTTCCAAAACTGTCTTTAAAATATTTAGTGATTTTGAATTGCTACCAACATCATCCCCTAAGGACACAAGTGACTGAAGGTAAATAGTTTTGTTTTTAGTTTCTTATGTTTTTTAAAAAGTTGATTGGAGTTTCTTGGAACAGAATAAAAACACACTTTAGTAGACTCAAGCTACATGCCTAACTGATTCCCAAAGCCCAGCAAAATAGGCACAATGTTTTTTCAGAACAAAAACTGAGAACAACTATCATTCTAGTATGTTATCAGAGGCTGAAATACGATCCATTTGTCTGTAGTTACAGTCAACACCCATGCCACATTTTCAAAAGTTAGATTTTTATAAACTTTCAACATAATACAAGTCATTATCATCCACTTATACGCCTTTGCTATCAGCTCTCAAATCATTCAGTCTAAAATCCATTGAATTCACTGGTTACCTTATGATACTATTCAATAGGTTTGGGGAGACATTTACAACTTACTATCTTACACCTGAAAAACCTTATTCTGTTTCTTTCTGTCGACTTCACTAGTTTTGGACTCTAGAGAAGGAGACTAGTTTGGTTCAAAGAAGTTCTTGAACTTCAGGACTGAGCTGTAAGAAGTTTTCTCCTGCTGCATTGCTTGCTCCTGGAGACTCCATTACAGCTGTAACTTTGACAGAGCACTTTATCACAAACTGCAGATGTTAAGCGATACAACTCTATTTACCATGGGCAGTATATTTTTTATATTTCTAAACCACCTGGACACACTTTAACATTTATTTTTTTAAAATCCTTTACAGTAACATGGCAAGTTAAGTATCACTATAGCAACACTTTACCTCAATGTTTTGAACCTTTACTTCTCATTACAAACTATAGAAGTGCAATGAAAACCTGTTCCAAATGACTGCACAACATATGAAAATCTTTCTCTGAATTTAGAAACCACATTTACATACCATCAACTTCAGCACTGAGGCCCTTCATGGAAGCTGGAAAGAAAGAGAGACAGAAAAACATGCTAATAAGTATCGTTCTTATTGTGAGGATGGGAGTTTCCACAGAAGTTGAAGCACTCAATTTTTTATTTGTTGATGATTTTTCCCCCCTCCAACTTCTTACCATCAGGAACAGCTTCAAATTCTGTCAACTCCTGAGAAAATTTGGCCAGATCAGGCTCATGTAAGAAGATCTGTTCCACAAGGGCATGAAGCAAGGTGAATGTCCTCTCTTTACCCCGCAACAGAGGTAACTGCAAACAGAGTAGAGCAATAACTGACAGACCGAGCTATTATACTTAAAAAAAAAAAAAAAAGGGAAAAAAGGAACAGCAAGGATGTTGATAGCTCCCAGGTAAATTTGACAAGAATAGAAAACACAATGAAATTAAACTTCTCTTTCTCAATCTGCCATTTCATAGACATTCTTGATTAAGATCAGCTTTACACTTTCATATCCGTTGACCTTCCTTGTTCTTTTCTGTCTTTTTATTCACACAGGCCTTTTAAACTTAAGGTATCCTAACTGATTGCAACTGATTTTGGACTTCCAAACGTGGTTATTATTCCTTTCTACTTAAAAGCAGTATTCTGTGTTCACAAAGATGGCAAAATTCCTTAATAGAATCTGGGAAGATGCTCTGTGGCAGAAAATGATTTTGTAGGCATTTTTCATTATGATAGATGTGGTATTACAGCCATTGTATATATATATATATACATATATATATATATAAAAAGAATGCAAGTTGAGTCTCAGAATTGTCACTAGAGTTATAAATCACTCACTCATATATTAATCTCCAGATGGGAAAGATACCTTACAAAAACAAAATAAAAATCCTTCTCTTCTTTATTTACAGATCAGGCATAATCTCACAATAGTATTAAAGGTACAAGGCAGTTTAGGAAATTTATATCTTTTTCTTACTTTTTAGGATAAGAATATGATGCTCCCCCACTGTCGGGTGGAGGAGGGGGAAAAAAAACCATGCTCAGTAGCAGCATTTTCTGGTGGCAAATTCTGATGAAGAGGGAAAAACAGTTTCCTTAAAACTAATGGAGAACTCAGCCTAATGTCACACAAGTGGTGGGTCAGTGAAGAGACAGTTAGAGAACTAAGAGCTAGATGATGCTTCTTGTATAGCAGATCTCTGTCACAACTGCCACTTTCATCACCTATTCAATCATCCAGTAGAGCAATGATGGAGGGGTTAAAACTGCTGCAGGCAAATTTCACTCTCTTTCAATTTATTAATTTATTTACATTTTACTTTTGAAATTTTACCTTAAAATGTCATTGTAACACTTGTTGCAAAAGACCTTTGCACTGGAGTAAAACGAAGCGCTAAGAAATTACTCCAGTGTCATAAAAGTGCAACTACCATGGAAGAAATGCCGTAGGTACAGCCTCTGACCACAGTGAAATGAAGAGGATCCATACAACAGTGCTCCACACTAAACTGCAAAATATAATTTATCTAAACTTCTATCTAACCAGGGGCCTGCAGCTCAGATGCTTCTTCTAGCTATGGGATCTTAATATCAGGGCAGTCAGCATTTTGATGTTCTACCTCATTAGAAATACAATGTGTTCAACACCAGAATGCCCACATCTAGCCAGTGCTGCTGTCTAAAATGGGGAAATGCATCTTGTTATAACACACATTAAAGAATACTTTGTTAAACAGGATTTTATTTCTAGTGTAACCAAGACCAGATGTTGAAATGTTAGCTACTCATTAAAAATGATTGCCTTTCCTCACATTCAGGGCAAAACTGAGTTAATATTAATGACTAACATACCTTATAACATGATAATTTTAATGACAAGAAAAATATTTACTCACTTTGGTCAAAGACGACAATCGAAATCCTTTAGCCTTCTCTTTTCCAGCCCTTTCATTTAAATGGTTCCCAATGGATAGAATGTATTCCAAGACAGCGACAAATTTCTGGCTGGATTGCAGCTGCTTACTAGCTTGGATTTTCTGGTTTATTAGCTGAAACACACAAATCTTCCTCCAGTTCAAACTGAAAATGTGAGTAAATCAATGGTGGCTATACCTTCCCTTTGCCAAAAGCCTCATTGTCCCCACCTGAAGCAAGTCACGCTCTAGCTGATGGATACCTACCTGTTCAACTTCCCTGGGGAACAGGCCAGGGGGTTCCAGGAAGGACCAGTCAAAAGTCTCCCACCAAGATAAAGCTAGTGTTAGCACAGTCACCCTGCCCCTGATGGAGGTCACATCATTTCTGACTGCCAAACCAGTCCTGCCAAAACAACTTCAACCTCATCTCTTAAAAATGCTTCTGAAGAAAAAGTATTTTGCTGTTTGAATGCACCAGATTGCACCAAATGTCAGGCATCAGGGGAAGCAGATAGCCTGAAGCACAGTATAAGGTTCTCCATCCTTCACCTCCCTCCCTTCTGTTTATGCCAGCTGAAGACTGTTATCTTATCAAAATTCTTAGCACAGTTTCCCCACAAGAAAGAACAATAATTTCCTGTAATCAAACTCAGTATCAATTTCTGTTTTCCTGGGGAAGCCACCTCCCTTCTATGACTATCGACATAAGAGGTGGTTTTGTTTTAAATTAGGAAATTATATTTATTTAGCACCACACCTCTCTTCATCAGTCATCATCACAAAAATTCAAAAACAGGGAAAGGATGAAACATGCGGGAGATCTGAAAGCCATTGTTAAAACATTTATAACACATCACAGGGCCAGAGGGTGGTGAAAGCCAAGAATCAGATAGTTCTATAGAATTTGAGGTTTATAATCTATGGTTCACAAACGTGTTAGCATACACAAATAAGTAAATACAACTAACCAGCTCTTTGGTGAACATTAAATAACCTTCAAAGCTAACAGTATATATAATATAATAGCTTCCAAATATTCAAATATTTGGTTTCAGTGGAGGACAGCAAAGGTGAAGCATTGTACCAGGCAGGGTCAGCAATCTGTGCATCGCCCCAGTGTTTTCCATCTGTTCCTCTTCTGAGTTTTGTTCACTGTTACTATGGTTTTAATCACAGCCAAAGTTTCAAGTTTCAAATTTTGTTTTCATTCCCATGCATGAGAGCAAAACCTTTGAAACATTTTCATAAAAACAGAATCACGTTGAAATAATTCGTTTTGAATCAAAGCATATACAAACATTGGCAGGTAAGGCAGTGCTTTGGAACAGGAAGATGTAGTCCATGAGACTGGAACACTGTTTATTTGCATTCCCCCACCCCACCCCTAGGTCATCCTGAAAAAGGCAGAAAGGGACTTGAACTCTGTTTTACAACATTTCAATTCAGTGCTGTAATCCTTAGGGTGAATAGCTTCCTTCGGTCTTCTGAAAATAGCAGATGTCTATGAGATACTGGTCAAATAAACTTGTTCTAAGTATCTATGACTTTAGATTGATTCATTCATCTTGTGGGGCAAGAACTGCCCCAGAAAAGTAATTAATTTAATGGGAAAATTTGCTTCTGTCTTATCACTGGGCAAAGAAAGAAGAAAGTTTAACAACCCCAAATAAAAATTTGAAATCCTTTCTTGTTCTTTTCTCCCTCCTTCATGGATGTCTATTCCACTGCTAGAGCCATTAGCAACTGCTTCTTGAACCTTAATTGAATAAGGATGATATCAAATGCACATACAAGTATATACGTGCATATCATAGCCCTCATTTGTCTCCATTCTTTTTTAGTGTGTTTTGTTTTGAACAAGTACTATGGAATACTTTCACTAACAAAACACAGTAAAATTAATTGAATTCCCAAAAGCACTGCAGATGCACCAGCTGATAGGGCCACTGTATTTCAAATGTAGCCTGTATCTAACAGTTTGATGTCATTTACAATTCCTTGGCTATCAAAGTCATGACCTATAGAGATTTTTTTTAATTTTTTTAACCTTTTTACTTGTTACTTTTGAACATTGCCATGAAATCTTTTTTATACGCTAGGCTGCCTGGATTATTACACTATGAATTGCTCACATTATGGCCCGTGAGACATTTTGCTATAAGAAAAAAAAAAAAAAAAAGAATAAACAACAAAACCTCCCCAACTACAGCATTTTGAAATGCATTGAGGCCACTTGACCCTCTACTATCTAACTGGTAGATTTTGGTCACAAACACACTATGAAGGAGGCACATTACTTACAGGCTCCAAGTCTCTCATGCTCACAGGGAGCTCACGTATGGTAAGCAGGAGATCCAACCTCTGGCCTAAGTGGGGGATTTTACACATCTGCATAGAATTGAACAGAAAAGGACTCAAACCCCATGTTTATACCAAAGCACGCACATATATCTTTCATAGTTTATTGACTAATTTATCTGCACTATAGTTTTCCTAATTTCTGAGCTCATTTATTAATTTTATTCTAGGCCTTAAGTCTGTAGATACACTGTGGAAAATATAAAAATCACATACCTGAATATGCATCATTTGCATTTGCAAATTCAGGAAAACACTGTATGCTACCAGGGCCAGACACTATTAGAATAAATGATACTCATTTCTTGTGAACAAGAATAGCTAAATGCATGTAATTTTACACTTAAAGATTATAAAAATCTAACTCAAAATAAATCAGCATCTACTTTGGAGGAAGGGGCGGGCATGTGACTTGGAGAAGCAGAGATCCATACAGTTCCCTTCATAATATCTACCTGTCTCAACTCTTTATCGGATAAATCCTCTTATACTGATTCTGGCTGAGACTGTAAATTTAAGTTTCAAACAGCTTCTTGTAGTGGTTTTATCTAGAAAAGAGTGTGCTAGAAATATCATGTGTTGTCAATGCTGTGCCTTCTTACCTCTAGCATAAACTGATCAACAACATGCAGCTCTGAAGGAGACCCCTTGAATGTCTGGTACCTTTCTGCATCTTTTGGTGTTGGCATGTATCTGTAAAATAAAAAATTAAAATTAGATGTCCTTTTCCTCTTCATTCTGTATTGTTGTAACATAAAACAATCACACCACTCCATGCATCAGAATTTCTTACTATTTAGTGTGTTTTACGTATTGCATATTTATTACTTAACCATTGGAACTTTATAGACATTTAAGCCAACTTTGCAATAGAAATCAAAAATGAACTGCAGATACATTGGATGAGTCTTCCAAAAGCACCTAGAAACAATATACACTTTTTGAGCAGTTATGGCCATGTTGGCTCAGCTTGTCTCTGGCATCATCTCTTTAGAAAAATAAGCACAAAAGCAGAGTCGACTCATGCTGTGGTGTGATTACCCAGTGGGCCACACGCTCTGGTCAACTCCTACCTCAAAAACTTTTTTAATTGCTAATGAAACAAAAGCAGGCAATGGTGTTTCTGTCTAAGTGCTGGATCATATCCTAGATCCATTTCTAATTTTTGTTGTAATAGCACATAACACAGACCCGCAACTTTTGTCCTTCTGCATAAAGTAACAGAATATTCTCCCACAGTATTCTAGAGCTGCAGATTTTCAGAAAACTGATGTCTTTAAACATGCCTCCACTTGGAAAAATAAACTCACACCACCACAGCTCCATTCTTCTCCTTTGGAGATTTCACTGACTGTCTGACTGATACACTATGGGAATTCTTACCATATCTTAAAGAAGAAAAATTAAATCAGTGTTATAGCTAACATATGAGAAGGAATGTTAAGAATCTTAAGTAAGTATTCAGGTCTACTCTCTTCTCTTTTTTCTCTGCAAAAAACGTACTAAATTTGTAGCAAGTGTGATTAAACATTCATGGGGAGAGATACATGTTTTCATTAAAAGTAAAGAAATTTATTCAAAGATGGAAAAATAAAGCAAATATTTTAGCATGTTAAGTAGAAGACAAACAATAAGATTTTTTTTAACTGTTGCCAATAATTTAATATGACATTTCAATTGAATAATTGCTGGGTTTTAAATTATTAAATCTATCTTAAAGCAGATTACAAAATATTCCATTCATCACCCTTCATCATCAAGAAAAAAATGATTTTTCATTTAAAAATAACAGTTATCCGTTGGCAAATGAAATCTTTTTTATTTATCATTAAAAATAGCTTAACTTTTTAAGCAAATTCAAAGAACCTTTTTGTTGCAGCTGAGAGAAAATATCTTCATTTAATCAGAAGTCTGATATTCCATCAAATTATTTTAATTTATTATGTGTATGAAACAAAACTAACAGATTAACTAGGAGGTTTAACTCTTAAAGCACTAAACAATGAAAGCTGTGGAAAAGGAAGCAAGAGAATATGTGAATGTTTTCCATAAATATCTTTTTACATGAATGGAACCCTAAAGCAATATGTGCAATGAAAAATCTCACATTGTTATGAAACATTAAGTTTATAGAGACAAAGAGTGCTTTGCTATTGATTTTAAGATGTCAAGATAAAGAATCATTTAGAGAACTATGGAAGGGTTTTGTATCAAAATCAGTCCTGAAGTTTCTAATAATATTCCACCACCTCCACTAACCTTCACTGGATACCTGAGCAGAACATTTTGCTCACTGGTCCCAGTTTTGAAAATGTAATACTGGTTTTGGCTTTAAATATTTTCCATTTTACAATAGTAGAATTTAGACCTCCTGCTCAGGCTTAAACAATATAACAGGTATAATTTGCAGAGATGAATTTTCCAGTCCCTGACTATCCTGTTTAAACTCACATAACCACAGGTTCTCAGTTAACTGGAGGCCACAGTTTTCAATAGTAAAATTTTCCATGATGGCACCTAAATCAAGTGGCAAGATCTTCAAAAGTGCTAAGTATACTGCTGCTTTATTATGCCAACTCCATTACAGTGCGTTGTGCAAAAGAAACTTCTGTGTGCTGAAGTTTCAAGATAAGCATCTGCCCCTTCAATGAGATGTCTGAATGGGAGCAGTAAGACACTGAAGTGCCTTGGAAATCCAATCCTCGATTCTGCAATGCATCTCATCTATTTCAGTAACATTTTGAAAACTGTTAGGATGGGAAAAAAAAAAGCTTGCTTTCACCACAGGATTTGTACATGCATTCCTAGATTTTGGCAATAAGAATGCCAGGAACAGAATCCTTGATCCTATACAGCACATAGCAATGCAGCCTCCAATATCTCTTACACATTCCATTGCTAGAAAAATTTCCTGAGCATTATTGCTACCAAAGGAAGATTCTGGAATCTTCAAGGAAAAAAAAAAAAAAAACATAAAATATTTCAAGTTTCATTGCCATCATTATTGGTGTTATTGTCTGATGATAAAGAACCCAGATGCTGTACAACAGTGTGGAGATCCTGGACTGAATCTGAAGTGCTGTATTAGGGCTTGAACAACAGAGTGTGTTCAGTGGTTTCCTTCAAACAGGGATGTGAGCAGAGGCTGCACTTCCAAATGGGGATGGCCAGACCCCAAGCACTCTGCTGGGCTGCAGGACTGGAAGCATTTCCTCACTTCTGCCAGCTCCATCCATTAGTTTCCCCAGAGACAGACGTGTGTTTACTGGAGAGCTCTTTCAATGTCCAAGACATTTCACTGCAGTTGTCTTCTGACCAATTTCACCACTGCAATTAGAAACTGTAGTACTTCAGTAAGACCTTTCTTTTTTGAATGAAGCCTTTAAGGTCAGCATTTGAAAGTCAGTGGAGCTCCATTGCCTTCAGTGGGGCTGTACACCTTTCACCAACTCCTAATCTGCTGTGCACCAGTGTGGGGTATAACCGGTGAAGCACTGGGGCAGCATGGATACTTTCACTAGAACACTGGTACATTTAGTCCACCTCTGGTGTCCTCAGCAAAAGAAAGATATGGACCTGTTGGAGCTGGTCCAGAGGAGGGACACAAAGGTGATCAGAGGGATGGAACCTCTCCTATGAGGACAGGCTGAGAGAATTGGGATTGTTCAGACTGGAGAAGACAAGGCTCCAGGGAGATCTTATAGCAGCCTTCCAGTTCTTAAAGGGGGCTTATAAGGAAGATGGGAACAAACATTTTAGTAGGGCCTGTTGTGATAGGACAAGAGGTAATGGTTTTAAACTGAAAGAGGGTAGATTCAGACTAGATATAAGGAAGACATTTTTTTACAATGAGGGTGGTGAAACACTGGCACAGGTTGCCCAGAGAGGCAGAAGATGCCCCATCCCTGGAAACATTCAAGGTCAGGTTGGACAGGGTTCTGAGCAACCTGATCTAGTTGAAGATGTCCCTGAACATTGCAGGAAAGTTGGACTAGGTGATCATTGTATGTCCCATCCAACCCAAACTATTCTATGATTCTAAACCATTTAAATATTCAGTGTCTTGTCCATATCCCTTTGTACTTCAGGCAAGCTTCATACAACCAATAGCACATTACATTAATTCCATACATTACCTGTCTGTTCTTCCTGTTCACATCACTACAGACACGATTCTGCAGACTTTAAAATTACTGTTGGTGTACTGATTAAGATCAGGATTTTGAGGCCATAACTAAACTCATTCCACAAGAAGTAGACACATTGGCAGCAAAACTGATTAATTACTTCCTCACTTTCTTTGCCAGCATCATCTTTTTCCAGGGTCACTCTAGCAAAAAACTCAAGTGTTTTCCCATTTTGAAGCAAGAAAATATTTCACATCAAATTTTCATATGAATGTGTCTAATAAAATGGTACAGGTATCACATGGGGACTGGGATGTATAATGGACACTGCTCTAGGATCCCACTCCTTTCCTTTCTTTCTATGTCTTAAATTGTTCAGGGACATACAATCCAGTTCCTACAAATTTCACATGCCAATAGTTTGCTTACACTTTTGAAATCTATTTCTCTCCATATAGTAATTCAATTATTTTAAAGATACTGAAATTTGCATTCTGCTTTAAACCCACAGATCTCTGCTACTCAGAAATAGTGATATTCTTAATATCCCATTATCCCATTAAAATCCTTTAACACTTCTCTGGCTTCCTCTTCTCTAAACCAATTTTAAATAGGGCACAAGATTCCTTTTGTTTCTTTCATTTCCAATCCCACAATAAATAGTAAGGCTATAGTAAGACATGTTCTAAAGTTTTCTCATTAAGTTACACCTGCTCACTGTCATAACTTACTCTTTTACTAACTCACCTCCTTGTAACCAGTTCACAAAGTCATGTCAGATTTTCTGTCATTTCTTGCAATCCCCTTTCCTATACAATGTGGGGAATAGTGATATTTTTGGTACTTATTCCAAAAATCTCGGTGTCAAGGACTGAGATTTCTGTGTGCAACCCTAATATTCTATTCACAGTCAGGATTGCTCCAATGTCACTGTACCATCTTCCCTGAACTTCACATTATTTGCAGAAGATTATGCCTTCTCCAAAAGGTAGCATATATTATAAACAAACAATTGAACTCCAAAGATTACCTTCTTAGTGCTGTAATCTGCTCATCTGTAAGTCCACCACTCTCTTCATGTATAATGTATAGTTTTTCTTTCAGTTCACTTGGTTTTATACGGAAACTTTTAAGAAAAATGTCTGGAGAAAAATGATTCTTAGATTACTTGGAAGAAAATACTCAAAAGAAGAAAAATCACCAAAACATTTAATATTTAATTCCCAGCTTTTAAAAAAGGAAAACAAAAACAAACAAAAAACCCTCACCACTTAACTGTTAATGCTAAGGCACAAAAGCTCAGCCTTCGTATTTTCTTTAAATATACATAGCAGTAGTCAAGAAAAAATAGATTTCTGTCAGAACATAGTCAATGTTTGAGAGATCTATCAAGTTACTGCTATCAGAAGGTACTCAAGTACTTGCTCATATATATTTCTCTTGTACTCATCTCAATAGTCAAAATATTTTTTTCCAAATAACAATACAATGTATTGTGTATTGGATTATTATAATATTTTGAGGATTAAAGAAATTAAATTTTACATTTGTTTTGATTTTGTTTACTTGCTTTGTTTAATTTCCAGGATTCAAAAGAAGGTAGTTAGAGTCCATCCAAGAAAAATTACTCCCAGATGAAGGCAACCTAGGAAATAGAAGTGCTCACTTCTTCCACGCTGCCTGATATTCTAAAATATGGCTAAGATTTTTTTTAATGTTTAAGACTTCTGTGCTGACATGGGGCTGGCTCATAATACTCATTATGATAGGAAAATGGAAATAAGGTGTCTCTTCCCCAAAAAGGTGAAGAACAATTTCTAAGGCTGTTGCTCCACAAAAAACCTACTTTGTCTTGCCAGTTATTCTTTACTGTCTCCATCATCATTACCAAAGGATGAAGGTAAAAAAAGAAAGACAGGAAAGTCAACAGAAAGCATCAGCATGGAAAGCAAAAAGGTTTTAATGCTTCTCAGTGTTGGCATGAAACTTGTCCTAGAGTCTCTGCTACAACAAAAGTCCTTCAAGAAGCACAAAGGGATTGGGAAGGAGAAATCAGGAAGGATGTGCATGATTTACCTTTTTATTTTTTTTTCTCCAATTCTAAAAAGGAACAGAGTTTTTCAGGTTATAGGAATTTGGTATGGCCCAAATCAACTATTAATGGTTCTCAGGAGACTGTTGGCCAATGGAGTATATAGCATTTATTCTTCCTCTGACACAATTTCCGCCCTTTTAATTTTGTTATAAGATCTAGCTTTAGCGTTAAGCCTGGAAGAATCTTCCCTTTTTCCTTCTTAAGCTTTTTTATCCCTTATATCTTTTGCTTCCCTATGCCTTTTAAACCATGTATCTCTTCAGGTGGGCTCATGTCTACGGACCGTAGCAGATTGAATAACTCATAGTAAAAACCTGGGTTTAAAATTTTCAGAACATGTCTACAAAACATTTAATATTTTCCTGAACGTTTTCAGTAGTTGAAATTAGCCACTGAATAAATTCGAGACATCAGACTTTGCCAAAGTATTTTCCCAGACAAGATAAACATGGCATGTATGGAAAACTGTCTCAGAGAGAAACAGTCAAGTCACAGAAGCTGGTATTTTGACTCCTAAGTCAGTTTTTCACTCACTGGGTCCCACATTCATGGATTAATATATACATTATAGTGTCTCCCAAAACTTTTTCATCAGAAATCTGAAGATATTTTTCTTGTTTCTCTGATACCTGTTCTCCGTATAGCAGAAATTTATTTTGTCTACAAGAAGCCATGACATAACTTAGCTTTTATTTGCATTTTCTCATACATTGGTCTTGAATTTAGTGTGTAGATCTTATCTCAGAACTCTCATTTTTCTCTTGTGTTTAGAAACCCACTCAAATTCTCAAGAAATTTTAACCTACTGGTGTTTTAGAGCTTCATCTTTTTATTCATTAATTTAAGAACTGTGGTTTGCAGCACTTGCAGGAAGATTAATCAGAATTCTCAGGATCAAATTAACTTTTGATCTAAGTATATGCCAAAATCTCACTGATGGGACTTTAAGATTAAGAAACTGATGCAGAATGTCTCAATGAAAAAGTTGTAAGAGGAGTAGGATCAAAAGAAAGAATGGTGCTATTTGCAAACTGAAAGAAATAAATTTCCTCAAAGAAATTGCAATAATTTAGTAGATAAAAGTGCTATTACATGATTCTTATCTGCAACATCACTTTCATGTCACTCCCTTCCTTTTAACCCTTCAAATTGTTGGTCAATGAACGCAATAATTCCAACAAGTTATTTCCATTTAGTTCCCAATTAAAGTTTACATGATCTCCAAAGTATATTCTTTCCTATCAATGTTTGTAAAGATGAAATCATTAAAACTTCAAAACTAACTGCCCCAAATTCTTTACACATGTGACATTTCTTAAAAGAGCGCTAGGTTATAGAACATTTTCGGAAAGCCATTTCTGTAATAGAAATCAGAGCCGTCTTTGAATAACAATTACTCTTACTCCTTTAATATCTACCACTTCTCATCAAAGTAACTAAAAGACCTTTGCATCATTTTATTAGTAAGACCAGAACTATGTGTTGAACTGCTTCATTAGCTGTGAAAGACTATTCTCGGTCAGGCTTTTTGAAGAATCATACCTGGGATATGAGAGGGAAGGATCCTGTTCATAATCATTCAGGACAGTCATTCACAGTCTTGGCCAGAGAAAGGCCAAGAGAGTTCCTATGACCTTGCTTGTAGCTGTCTCAAAGGCTTCTTACACCAACCCCTCTACACTTACATGAATAGTCTTGAACTCGCTGTAGGAGAGAGACTGAGCACAGTACTCGGCATGCTAGCTATCAAGCTCTTTCTGTTAACTCCTTTTACCTGGCCAGCCCACAAAATCTGAGAAGTATTTGAAGTCAGTCATGAACATTTATTTCACAGGCATCATACGTAGTTTTACATTTCTGCCCTGAGACAACAGCATCACAGCTCAATGGCACATTCACGTGTTTGGTACATGAGGAGCAGAAGCTTGGTGCTTCTACTCTGCATCATTAAGGACCACATTTAGAGCAACTGAGCCATGAGGTCTATTTTTATAAATATGTAAAGGGGCACTGAATTAGAAGATGATTTCGATACAAGCTTGTCTCCTTAGCCTGTTGAACAGCAGAATGTACAAATAGAAAATGCATGCAGTGCTCATCCCAAGCTTCCAGACAGGAGTACAGTTCTTATTACACTTACTGAAGTTATGTGCAACTTTTCGATCTAACATGATGTGTTGATTCGTTGAAGGCTCATTGCCTGAAAATACTGCCATGTCCTGGATCTGGAACTGATCACAGAGTCTGAATACGTCTATCTTTCTCTTGCATGGGTCACATGATCCCCAGACAGATTTATGAATCTAAAAATATAGGAGTGACAGGGTAAACAAAAATGGAAAAGAACAGAGTCACTTTGTTCCATCAAAACATACAGAAGGACATCCAGGTTGTTTTGTGGCACATCTGTACTTTTATGATAACTATACAGGTAATATAGGCTACAATTTTATTTTTTCTTTAACAGCTACCACCACTTTTGTCCTCACCTTATCACAAGGAACAACATCCCAGTGAAAGGCTTTTGTTCTCTTTGTTGATGGAGAGACACTGCAGGGCTGCGGGAATGCAGGTGGGGCTGGTGGTACCTCTGCCTTATTTGTGGGAAGTGGAAGGAATGGTAATGCAGGGGTTGATTCCCCCTCTGCAGGCTTCATCTGGGAGCTTGAAGACTTGTTCAGACTGGTTGTTGCAGAACTCACACCAAAGTGGAGGGCCTCCTCTTTCTGTTCATTCAAAGGTACAGTAAAATCCTCATAATCCGCTTCAGAGGAGATGCATCCTTGAGATCCCTCCTGAGGCAGTGAGGTGCCCTTGCACAGTGAACAGTACTTTTCTATGAGAGACACCCATTCATTCTGGAGCTTGATAACATCCTCTGTCCTATTATTTTGGATGGTAAAGGGTATTCGAAACCTGAAATTTAAGAATGTCATATATAAAAGCAAGGAAGTGTAAAGAACATGCTGACTAATACAGCCACAGATATTTCTTATTTAAGCAGAATGATGTTTAGCAGCTTTACTTGTCAAAGGAGACCAGAGCTGCTGACTCTGACCTTTTCAGACAGAGTTAATTGCTTACGTGTCTAAGGTTAGAGAGCTGAAGTTTTGCCATATATTGACTTTGTGGTGCAGTTACCTCGTAATTCCTCTTCTCCACCTTGGGCGAAGGTGAACAGTGAGCTGCCTCTTACCGTGCTTGTTGCACAAACTAGTCAGAACCTGTTCACGCATCTTTCCTATCAAGCCAAAAGATACATCTCTTCACTGGCTCCAGACATGACAACTGGGCAAGTCTTTGTGGGCAGTATTTCAAAGTATCTTCTCAATTCCACAATTCGGTGCCTTTGATTCCTCTTTAAAATACTCATCAAATCAGTGCCTAGCAATGGGAGGGGTTATCTATATAATTCTGACGGCCTCATTTCTCCACTGTTGTATTTTGTTGTGAGATATTGAGATTATCTGTTGCTTGACTTTGTTTTCAGTTGTTCTACTTTAACAAATTATTAATTACTAACTATACTTACAAATAATTGTGTTCTCTGGTCTGGACTGAAAAGGTACTGCATCCATTCTCCTTGCTGACACTCACATTACCACCTGACAAATTAATTGTATTTGTTATAGGGCCTGCAGTCTTGTTCTGTCCTCCCAGACCTATGCAATATAAAGTCAATTCTCCTTCACGTAGTTGTACCAAGTACCTGAAGGACAAGGAATAGAGATACAGTTCATTCTTCGCTGAATACTTATTTACACAAGACTTGCCTTTGTTAAAGTATTTCCTAATGTCAATTAAGTCGCCAAATGTTTATATCTTCCATGAAACAATCAAAAAGTATCAATACTAAAGCATAAAACCTTTGAGATACGGGTGTCTTATTCTCACCTGACACGTGAGTAAACTGCAACATAAAATATGAATTTCCAGCCTGCCATGCCTAATGAAAGAGCTAAAACTAAGAAGATCTGAATATCGACTAAAAATCACCCAAATCCTGTTAATTTGTTAGCCACACTCTGTCCCTCCCTCTCCATTTATTCCTCCCATTTGTTTGGGATGGTGAGTCTTTGTACTACAAGCTTTTAAAGGAATTCATTATGTGACAGAGCAGTGAATAATATGGCAAGGCTTCGGAGTTTCTGTGTCTTCCTGGTTTCACTGCCACCAATCTATAAACAAGTCACCATAATAAAAGTTAGTGCCCAACCTTATAATTCAATAACTCTCCCTCTTGGAAACACCACTGCACATACTCTTACTCCATGAGGATTGAACCTGGTCCCCCCTTATTCCCACAATTTTCTCAGCAGGAAAAGGTCAAAGTATTCTGCTCTCAAGCGCTTCTATCAGAAGTGACTGTGCCAAATTTGAGGTACTACCTATTTAAATGATAAACTAATCCTGGCAGAAACTACCTGACCATACACAGCTTCTACTACAACAGAATCTTCTGCTTCAGCCTCTCCTCTAGGATCCTGCTCTGCTGCATATAACAAAGGTCCCACATTCAACAAGTGGGTCTTTACTGTATGTGGTTTTTATTCTTATTTAAGCATTTGCATTCTCATTTTTATTGAGGGTTACTGCATTTCTTTATCATTCTGACAGTTCTATCAGACCTTTCTTTTCCTCCACTCTCTCTTCAAGGTGTGGCTAGTTGATTAAGGTGTTCTATGAGGAATTTAAATAAGTTTAGCTGCTCCAGAAGAATTAAACATAAAATATAAATTGCATCTATTCCCACATAAACAGTCAAAGTGATAAGAATTGTTTAATGGAGCTGGCAGTTATATTGATCTTTCCTTTCTTTAAAGCAGGGACTTACAGTTTAATCGGATCTCCAGATGTTTCCACCATTATTTACTTTGCCAAAAAAAGTGAGGATTAATATCAAGAAGAAAGCAACAAGGGCTTTGCTTCACAAGATAAATAAAAATCAATTTTTGTTTGCTAACACACTTATTAAATGTTGCAAGGTAACAAATCCTGGGACACACTTGAGGATAGTATTTACAAGACATACAGTGGTAGCCTTTTAAAAACAATTAAAATCATTTTCTGTGAACTGTGAAGTCTTTTGAAGTAATTGCCCTGTGCAGATAATTACAATGTTAAATTTTTTTTCATTAGTTTTTGCTAGACAGATTTTTGTTTCTCTCATTTGGTATTACAAGCAATTCCCAAGTATTTTATATAGTTAGCTAGATACACTTTGATTATAATACAAATATATATACTTTGATATAATACAAATATATATGCTTTGATTATAATACAGATTATACATTGATAGTATAAGCAATTTCCAGGTATTTTAGGAGCTGGCTCAGGGGAAGGGTGGGTTGTTTGTAGGATGGGTAGAAAATTGTGTAAAATCATTGTGGGTGGTTCATTAGTTCAGTAATAGAATAAGCAGAAGCAGAAGACATGCTTATCTGTGATGTGTTAGGGTGGTGAATGAAATGGTGGTGACTACCCATTTCCTATTGAATAATGATTCCTGTCTTTGAAACCACCCGGCCATTAGGACACCATGGTTGGTCACCCGCACAAGAGGGAAGTTAAGAACATTATGAGAATGAATTATGAATTTTAGGACAGCCATTTGGTCAGTGTGAGTCAATGTTCTCTAGCAGGACTCCTATACTCTTTTTCCCTCTTTCCTTATGATGGAAAATGGAATAAAAAGGCAAACATAATGAAGTCCCACCATTAAAATCACTCTGCGCACCATCAACATTATATATTTGTGTTAATAATGCACACAGTGGTCTCTAGCACACACCAGAACTTCATTTTGTTGTGTATCACTATTGTACTAACAGTTAATTTAAATGTTTTCAACTTATGTAGATTGGGCATCTAAGTTTTAACTTTAAAAAGCAGTTACTTAACTTATTATCAGCAAATTAAAATCTTAAAGTATTAATCAGAAATTTTAACAAAATCCACAACCCAGATATATATGAAAGTGCAGTTCATACTTCACCCATTCAGTAGATATAAAAGTCTTTTGCTGCAAATCCAGCAGTCCTTCGTGTATCACATCACATTCTGCAGGTCTTCCAGAGCAGGAGTCTGCTGGTCTCTTGCATGAATTGCTTTGTATAACTCTGCTCAGAAGGTATGTTATCTATATAATAGGTGGCAGCAGAGAGAGTATATTATCCATGTTAATTCCCTTTAATAAGACATTAATAGGTGGATTTTTCAAGTATAAAAATGATAGACAACACTATAAGCAGCAGTCAAATAGGTAAAATAAATTAAAGTAAAATAAATAGGGTCTTTCTGTGATGCTAAACTACTTAACTGCTATTTGATTTTATACCCACAGTTCTAAACCTGTCAGTGTAAAAAGAACATAATTTTATTATGGAGGGGTTACTGTAAAACATAATTTTATTTTTTTAATTCATATACAAAGCAATCTAGGACAAAGTACAACTCAGTTCAAGCCCAAGTAGTACTTGATTGATATAGCTTGAAATCTCAAACAAACCCAGCAGAAAAATGAAGGGTTGCCTACAGTTGAAAATAGAGTGGGTTAGCATGGGTGTGAATTTAAAGCGCTCTTTTTGTTATACAGGGCCATATTCGAGTTTTTGTGCTGGGTTTACATGGTGGGAGTTTTGGTATCAGGGAATGGGCTACAGCAGTGGGCCCTATGAGAAGCTTCTGGGAGCTGCCCCAGCTCAAAGTTGGATCCACCTCTGGCCAAGGCCAAGCCAATTAGCAATAGTGGCTGCACCTCTGCAATAACGTATTTAATAAGGGGAACCTGAGAGGGGGCTGGGACTTGTGAGGAGGAATTAGAAGGACACCGGTGTGAACACCGAGGTCAGTGGAAGGAAGGAGGAGGAACAGGGGGGGAGGTTCACCAGAGCAGAGGCCCCCCTGTGTCCCGTGGTGAGATGGGATGGCAGGGCCATGCCCTGCCGCCAGCGGAGGTCTGTGGTGGAGCAGAGGAGGACCTACAGCCTGTGGGGGAGCCCACAGCAGGACCGGCAAGTATAACTAAAGGAAGCGGGGACTCTGAGGGAAGAAGTGGCCCCTGCTGTTGTAGGTCGGAGCTGGGAGAACTGCAACATGCGAGGGTGACCCACAACCAGATCAGCATGGGAAGAGCTGCATCCCGTGGGGAGGACTCGCACTGGAGGAGGTTTGTGGAGGACTGTCCCCAGTGAGAGGGGAGCCACGTGGAGCAGGGGAGGGATGTGCGGCGTTCAGCCCACCCCCCAAGGAAGAAGGAGTGGTGAGCTGACTGTAACCCCCATCCCTTGCCCCCTGTGCTGTTGGGGGAGGAGGCAGAGAGATCAGGAGCAGAGCTGAGCCTGCGAAGAAGAGGGGGGTGGGAGAGGTGATTTTGGATATGGTGACGCTTCTCACTGTCTCACCTTGTCTGTTAAGTGTTGGTTTTGTTAGTGTTTGAATTAAAGTGATGTTCTTTTTTTCTTCCCCTAACCAGTTTGTCATTTGCCCGTGACCACAATGGGTGAGCCACCCTTCCCTGTCCTAACCTCAGTTCCTAAGCCTTTTACTTTATTTTCTCCTTCCCATTCCTGAGGGGGAAAGGGTGAGTGAATGACTGCGTGGTGCTCAGCTGCCTTCAGGGCTCAAACCACAACAGCGTTCTTACTATAGAATACGTGTATCTTTTTGAGATCTTCTGCTAAAGGCAATTTATTTTGAAAATTAAGATAATTGACCATGTACTGTTCATCTGGAATAAAAGTTTCTGCACATAGAGTGAACCATTAAGTTTCACGAGGAATGAATCCCTTTGCAAAAGCCCCTTAAAAATGGGTCACAGCAGAAGTTTGGATGCAAATATCTAGTTGTACCTAGGCTGTCTTCCTCTGATAATTTTATCATTTCAGTGTATTTTGATGGTAAAAGATGAACTACTAGATCTTTTTCTTTTCACAGCATCACGATGGCCTCATTCATTCTTCTCTAAAAGCATGTATTTTAATAAATATATATAGAAAAAAAACTGCTTAGAAAATTTCAATTAAAATTCAACTGTATATGTTGTCAATTTTGTTTGCTTGTTTTAATACAGTCTCAGGACAGTTACATTCAAGGTGTAGTTGAAGAAATGCATCCACTTCCTTATCACGTCTTGAGCTGGCTTTACATCTTCAGTCCTAGTGAACTCTGGCAAAATCCTGAGGCCAAACCATCCTGAACTCTCATTCCCTTTGTTCTATGTATGAACATACACAGAATAAAGACATATCTACCTCTTTGCTTGCACAATGCACAACATAACAATTCCCATTTATTATTGGGACCTGCTGGGTACTACCATAACATTAGCTGTTATTTATAGCAATGTGTCTATGACATTGTAAAAACTTACCTTCTTTTTATCATCAAGAGACACTGCTTCCAGCTCATAATCTTGCCGCCCATGAAACACAATGCTGAAGCGCCTCCTTTCAGTATCTTCACAGGCTTTGACTTGTGAGAAAGGGAACTGTTTCTTAATAATTCCTTTTTCAATGTTAAAAATGGTCTTTGTGTTGAAATCAATCTGGAATAGAAAGTTCTTCATTACTTGACTACATCCTTTCTCTGCATTGAAAGGGAAAGACAGCATCCCAAATATTACCATGCAAGGGCATTGAGATAAAGGACCAGTTTGGAATATGTATCTATCTTGCTGATGAATAGAATAAAAAATTACGTTCCATCATCAAGATACTGTACTATATTTGTTTTAGTTACAAAACAAACAGATATTCATTGTAACTGTGTTTCCCTATCTCTTTTGATGAATATGCATTGATTTATCAATTTTAAATATTATTTATTTTTAAATTCTCCTTGTCTTATACAATGCAGTGCAAAAACTTCCCATTCAGCAGTAGTGGTAGCACAAACTAATGGCATAACCACCTCAGCAGAGATTCAATTACTAACTGGTTCAACCTATGCCCCAGTACTAAAATGAAGATGGTTATTTTTACAACAGTCACTTCTGTGCCAGGAAAAGAGGATAGTACTGAGAGATTACTTTCTGATATAAATAGTACTGCGTTTTGGTTTAGATCTTATCTACACAGATTTTTTTTTTTTTTGTCTGTATGTATCTACACACATATATGTGTACATATAGGTGAAGGGAGCAATGATAATAGCCAATTAAGTTATCTTATTGATGTTTCACAGCTATAATAATTAAAGATTGCTTGCTTTAAAATAAGATTATTCTTCTTTCACTGCACAATCTATATCTGAAGTACTAAAAACTGGTACAGACAGATTCCAGTATGTTCTATGTGTCAGTCCCTGCTGCGCAGAAACAGCTTTGTTGATACAATAAGATGTGAATATTATCTGACTGCCCAGCTTCAGTGAAGGTGGCCCTCAGAGAAGACAAACTCAGAAGACCCTCAGAGTCTCACTTGAGTTAGATATTTACCTTCGGTTATAAATGATTCTTGGCACTTCTCATTCCTATTGTGCAGACCACACCAACCAAATGTTAACACGTTGGCCTTTCCCTCCATTCTGTTTATAGCAGAAAATCTCCAAAGCAGAACTATTCTCATTATCATCTTTGACTTTTGAAGGCTACTGATAACTAGAGAACTGGAATTGAACTAGTCCAGATTCCCACACTGATAACTTCCACATCTAATATTGCTTTCTCCATTTTTCCATCAGCTTTATGTGTAAACAAATAATATTTTAATTTCAAAAGCCAGTAGATCTTGAGATAAATAACAAGATTATACCTTGTACAATTAAGATGTAGTAAACAAAAACCCACCCTCTAGCATGTATGACTTGGACTTCATATTATCAAATTTTGTTCAATATCTCATACTTCTCTGATAAGTTGCTGAACCACAAGTTTTTTTTTTTTTTAAACTACCTCATAACATTTACCGAGCAACCTACACATCCTGTATTTCTTTATATATCACTTCAAAAGTGAGAATTTTTAGTCACCTGCAAAATTCTTTTCTGCCACCGATAGTGTTTGTATTTGTAGATAATGAAGTTAAATTGTGAGCCAGTTAGCAAATCCTGTGAATCCTGAAAAATAGAACAAAAATCAGCAATATATCCAACACTGTTAATTTTTGTCCACCCAGATCCACTCATGTTCTCGGATGAAATCTCCCTCAGTGAACAGTGTTCAAACAGTGCTGGAGGCTTTGCAGAAGAACTCCACATGGATATACATGGAAGCATCCTCCTGACCTGATTTTCACAAGCACAAGGTATCCATAAATCCTGCTGAACTAATGAAGGGATCATAAATTGGGATGGAAGGTGAAAGATAGGGCAGAAAGCAGGAAGATGGGAAGAGCAGAGCCCATGGAACTGGACTAAACACATCTCAAAACACATAAGTACAAGCAGTCTATTGAATGGGCTAAGTCACAAACAAGAACCATATGTGACTTTAAAGAAAAAAAAATATTTACAGACCCTTGAATGCAGTGCAGTAAAATGGAAGATCTTTGTTCCTTGGTTTTATATTAACGTTTACAATTTGTTTTCTGGTCCCTTACAGTAGCTATACTCTGTTCATGGAAAATTACTAATTTTATAATCTTCAGGAAAATGCAGGAAAGTGAAGGTCATGATCCACCTATATTAAATTTTATTTACTTCTAATAATTAGCTATCACAAAAACTTTATCATGGTGGAAGTAGAAAAGGAACCCTTTCTCTTCTTACTCTGAGAATATATTTTCATGTAGTCTTACACTGCTGAGTTTAGTATTTTTGTTGACTGCAGCCTTTCTGCAAAACTTGCACTGCTTTTTTATTAGGATTTCTTTTTGTTCCTCCTTCTACTTCTTTCCAGCCAACAAGTTAAGAAGCACTTCAGAAAGTTATTTTTTAAAATTCCAAAAAGCACCAAGTTTATCTCAAAATCACTAGCAGCTCCCACAGTGCAAAAATATTTCAAATTGTGTCGATTGTGTCAGGTGTCAGCACATCATAAGATTTTACTGTTTCCTGGAGATGCTCCCATAGGGAGGGTGGTTCAAAAATCCAGAGCAGAAGGCGAAATAGTGAAAATTTCTGCAAGGAATTCTCTGCTGGCACCTCTGTGGTGATGATGGACAGAGACTGCAATGACAGAGATACTGGACAGGGCTTACAAAGAGGAGTACAAGGTTGATGTACTAATGTACACAATTAATGTACTCCTCATTCCCAAACCATTTTCACCCACCATTATCAACTTCTACTTTTCTCAGGAAAGAAGTTCCATGCTTTCTATAAAATGGAAAAATGCTAATGATCCACTCTGCTTGTCAGTGAAGAGATGAAGGTTTTAACAACAGAGAAATTAAATTCTGGTGTCTCAATCTGAACCTGATGAAATGTCTGAACTAGACCTCTTGGTCTCATTGATCTATGCTCAGCAAAGCTATGTTGTTGTAGGACCTAAAAACAATTTTAAGCCATCTTTACGCTGATTCTACTTTTGCCTGATGGAAGGTCAGAGGCAACCATAGGCAATGTCAGACCTGAAGTCACACTGGCCAAGGCTTTGTACCTTGCAGCCAGACGTTCCTGTGGCCATGAATAACACCGAGTTGTCAGATCCTCTTATGTTGACCAGTCATGCCCTGGGGACAACCCAACACTAGAAGACACCTCAGATTACATCCATCATTTTCCTGAGGTGCTTCATGGTATCAGACCAAGGATTTTGCCCTATATTTATTGTTACAGTACTTGATGCTGCACTCAGAATAACAAAACTTGTTATTCTAAATGTTCTAGATTTAAATTATTTAATCCAGGTAATGACATCCATGTAGCTACAGCATCTACATGGGATATGGGTAACATTAGCCATTAATACCTAACATATTTGGTTATAAACTGGAGTATATATGGTTGCACAAGTTGGACCTGCATCTTTGAAAGAAATACAGACATGCTCCTAATGCTCATTCAGGCTTTCCAAAACACGCTCATACATTTGAATGTCTTGCAAAATAGATCAAAGGAGTGACCTTACCTTTCCAGCATACACCTCTTTCTGTGCCAAATGCAAAGCTCCTTCAATGCTCACTTCTTTATTTTTCACCATATTCATAATTTTGAGGATTTTTTCCTGGCTTAACTGGAAAAAAAGTCAATCAAATATTTTTAGAGACTTTTTTCATCTGGCTATTAAGGATACAGAGTGCTTGGGACAGTTACAGCTATGGTATCTGCCATAAAATTATAATTTCATTCCTATTTTATGTTCTATCGACAACATGCCCAGAAAGTATAATCTCCCTTTGAAACCTGTTGAGAGTCCACAAGATATCAAATATACAGGTGCTTTTACATTTTTAGAAGATGGGGTGGTAATATCTGGAGATAGAACTGCCAAGAGGAAATTTTTTTATTTAGAAAATCTAGCAAGAAGTGAAAACATCAATTTTGCATGCTTGCTTGTGTCTTACCCTTAGTGTAAAGTACTGCATACAGACAACATGAAAGCAAAATCAGGACCATTCGAAATTTTCAGGGTGAAGGGGGAAAAATTGATATTGGTACCCAGTACCGCTGTCACATGAACTTACCTAAACACATTAACAAGCCAGCATTACACTTCCACTTTCTTCTTCAAAAAAACGATGTTGCACTGTCAATAAGCTTACGCAAAAATTTATGTCATTCTTAAGTGAACCAGGTGGGGATTACAATGCCAAACAGGAATCAAGCAAAGACAAAAGGCAAGTGGAGTAACCAGGGACACAGAACTACAGCAGCTTATGCTGTTGGTACAGCTCTTTCACAGACTTTGTAAAAGGAATAAACAACCTCCCGTTGAGACAGACCATAGAGTTCCCTTGTGTGATATCCATTCCTCAACAGTGGCATAATTGGGAATTTGGAAGAAGTGTGTAGGTTTTACCACCACAGCTCAGGAACTTGTGATTTTTTTTATCCAGAACTTAGTTACAATATTTAACTAGGTACAATATAGAACTTCCTACCCTTCCTGGAGAATCACTTCACCACCAGGAGGTAAGTTACTACAGTAAAATCTTTCTTTCCAACCATCCTTTTCAAGCTCTTCCATGTGGACACCCAGGCGAAGAGCCCAGGAGCGCTGCCCAGGCGGAGCAGGAGCCAGGGGAAGGGGCAGGAGCCAGGGGAAGGGGCAGGAGAGCTGTGTCGGGGCATGGGAAGGGGGCCTCCCCTGCACCCCTGTAGCTAGAGCTGCTGGCAGACTAATACATTCAGCAGAGCAAGGCAGCTCAAAGCATCTCAGCATCGCAAGCAAACCTGAACTTGGCTACCCCAAGGAGGAGGCACCAAGACCTGGAGTGGGTTTTGCTGTTCCTGCTGTAGGAAAAAGAAGGTGAAGAGCTAAAGACGGGTATCCCTAGAGAGCCAGGGCTGCCTCCCCGGGGCGGGCGAGGGTGGGCAGAAATTGGGGCTCCTGAGAGATGCCAGTTTTTCCGCCTGCGGACACTCGTGATCGCTACCCTCCGCAGCACCCACCAAACCGCAGCCCCGGCTGCTGAGCCCGGCCGAGCGGGCAGCGGCGCTGCGGCTGCTCTGCTCCCCCCGGCCCCTTCCTGCCCTAACCGACCGCTCGCTTCGCCCACGCCTGCAGCTCTCCACAGAGCTTCTCTGCTAAAAAACCCAGCAACACAGCCTTGCAACAGAAAAAAAAATCCTCTTCACCCATCCGTGCACCACAGTCACCTGGCACAAGTCTGGTGGGCAACATAAAAATAACCAGTCACACCACAGAGGTCAGGGACTGGTAAATCCCCAGGTTCTCTCTTTTTCCAAATCACACTATAGAGATCACACTTTAGTTTACCAAATTTCTAACATCTCAACCAGTTTCTGATCAACAGACACGTTGTATGTTTTTACAGCCTACAAATAAAACCGGGAGTAAAAGAAGAAGAAATATTTTGTTTTTAAAGCCTTGGAATTTTCAATGCTAATATAAAGGTAACTTATGGCATAGCTCCCAGCTGCAAACAGTAATGTGAACAGTGAGGAAAGAATGAAAGCAGTCTGATAATTCATTCACACTTGCTGAGGCACAGAAGGTTCCTACAATGACCTCCACACTCTGTATTTGAATTTTAAATAGCCATATATTTACACCACACATACACTGTATACGATTAGATCTTAACAAGATAATTCCCCACTGAACAGGCTCTGTGTAAGCAAACAAGAATATGGATATGTTTGAATTGAAAAATATAGTTTCTTTAAGGCTAAACTCTGCCAGCTTTAAAGTGCAAGATCCTATTTATACAGGATAGCAATTCTTGATAGGAAGTTGCACAGTATTTTTGCAATTGTTAAGCCCTTTTGTATGAGAAGTGTCTAAGATTTTGCAGCAGGATAACAATGATAACATAATGGTAACATCATGGCCTTATGTGGAAGACACAGTCTGATTAACATAAACAAGAGAAGCATTATTTATTTCCTTCACTTCAGTACACATATAACTCAATGAACAAGCTCAGTTCTCATTTGAATCTCATGGTGTTCTCCAGCTACACAATATATCATGCATATCTGCAGGGATGCTTCCAAAGAGTACCCAAGAAAACAAGACTTTCAACTTGAAAAATATCAGCTTGGAATTTTTTTCTAGGATATATGTGATTGGGGTCACCAGCCTTGTTCTCACGCACTCAGGCTCCATACTCTACAGTGCCCCAAGTACTGTGTATTTTAAGTTCTGTCTTTCTGGCCAAATTTTCTATCTAGGGCTAAGAAACCTTGTCACAACATCTCTACCAAAATCAAGACATTTTCTTGTCATTCACTGTGTTACTCTTTTGCATTGCTGAACATTTTCAAAACTGGTTTTGGTTTTGGGTTGGTTTTTTTTTTTTAACTTTTTACCGGAAAATTACAGAAGGGAATGCATTTTTGGCTCTATGAAGTATTCAACCCTTCATTCTGCTTACTTCACCAATGTCTCCTTTAGACTAGAATGAAATTCTGCCCAAGACATGAAAACAACAGGGAACATGTCTTAATTTCCTTAATAATGTATGAAGAACAGTGTTTGCAAAAGAGAAGCAAATCATTTTGCATATTGCAAATTCAGGAAGGTTAGTTAGTAAGTTAGACTACTGACAGTTATTGCATTCCCCAGAGAGCACACAAAAGACAGTGCTTGGTACAGGTTATTTTTAACAGTGCCCTGTTGTTTTAATGTCTCTGTTAACTCTCTCTCTGTACATCTGTAAGCAGAAGGAAAATATTTCAAAAGACAAAAGAGGCAAAAAAGGCACTTTTCAGCTTATGAGAACTGTCAGAATTATTTGTCAGAAGTCTGTCTGGTTCGCTTAGGTTTTTGACAGCCACATGTTAGCATGGTATTTTTACTTGCAAACAAGACTTGAGTAACATGCCTTGACCTTTATCATTTTGTATCTGTGGGACTTTTCTCTCAGCACATCACAATTTTTGTAATGCTTATTCTTGTGTTTGGTTTGGTTATATTTTTTTCTTAAAAAAGAAACCATTTTTGTCATATTATCCACTGAAATGCCACTAAGACAGACTGTGTTGTATTACCTAATAGAATGTGACTGGTGCAACCAAACAGAATGTTTTTATACAAGGTTGGATAACATAACTTTGAAAAAATTAAATGATTCTATTATAAAGAATGCACATTAAGGAAGTACATGAGATTGTGTTAATAATGCATTTGTTTACCTGCCAGGTTAAAGAATCTTGTTCAATACAGATTAAATTTTCTTCACCTACCCAAAATTCAGTATAGCCACGTAAGTGATTTGAAAGAAAAATCACGCTCACAATTGAAGGAAGAGTGTGGGGCTCCAGGCATTCTCCATATATCCATTACTCTGCAGGGTGAGGTTTTTGTATTTTTGGCCTAGACACGATATAAAGTGTTTAATGGTGAGATATGAGATTTCTGGCTTATTCTTGGCCAACTGCCAACACCGTACTGTACATGACCCCTTCCAGAGCTTCCTGCCACCCTCTGTTTACCCAGCACATTCTCACAGAAGGCCCTAAGAAGCATGGAAGGTTTTACATGTAGTCTTCACGCTGGGGAAATATTATTCTAATGACTCCAGAAAAGCCCCCAGACCTTCTGAGCATCAACCAAGAAAGAGGGGTTAAAGCCATGTCATCTGAATCATTTACAGTTGATTAAGAAAAGCAGTGGAAGATATGCAGAACTTGGGTAACCATTCAAGGATAAGACAGGTTGTCTTCCTGTGTCTCTTCTTTCTGACTCTCAGCCTCTAACGGGCACTGGTTCACTTTCCCCAAGTGACCACAGGGTTGCTGTGACTCCTACACAGTCAGTGGAGATACCTGGTCTTCTCTAAATAGCAATTCACCACATGCAAGACCTGCCTCTCATTATCTGGCAACTCTTTCTCTCCATTACCTACAGAGGAATTTGAGCTACATGGCTTTTGCTCGGCTTATTCTTATTCTGTGGACCATCCTACCTGAATCATCATAATATGACAGCAATCTAATGCAAAAAGACTCCTGGAATGTGTGCACGTATACCCACGGAGACGTAGAGCAAGAAATCTGGCTGTCAGTCAGCTATATATATGATCTCAATTATTACAAATACTAGCACGATTCAGTGAGACATTATTTCAGGTTTACTTAGGTGAAGATCAAAGCTAATATGCACCGAGCTCTATCATTTCCTGTGACAACAAAACCAAGTCATGCAGAAATCCTGCTCCCGGAACAAATGAGGAGAAATTTTTATTCAAGTCTAGTCAAGCTTTTCACTGTTAAGCATTCCTTACACTTGTCCTTATTAAACATTAACAGTGTTAAACATTCTCATCTGCTTGCTGTAAAGAGTAAGAGACAAACCAGTTCCTGGCTGCTGCAGGGCCCAGAAGGGAAGACTGGACCAGGAGGGCTTCTTCCTCATCCTCTGCACTCCACAGCAGCATCTCCCTTTTAGCACTGCTAGGATCAGTGCTCCAAGGGACAAGGGGGCTCAAGCCAAGAGGAAAGAGCCAAGTAGTGGCAACACATTGCTTTACAGAAATCTCATGCATTTCTGGGCATAAATCTGACTGAATGCTAGTGTTGTCCACACAAAAAGAAATATGCTGTTTT